TTTGCAATAGTATGATACAATACCTATATCTTGAAATTGGTTCTATACCATTCCGGTGTAGTATTTCTGTAGTTACCTAAAAATCAAGTTTTAAAACTGGACAATTAAAAGAAAACAAAGTATGAACTGAAAAGGTTGTTGTCCACCCATTTATAGAGTTGGTAAACCGAACCATAAGTCCAGGGATGCCTCTCCCTCCTCACTCTCTCTCTCCTCCTACACACCAAGTACTTTTTGGCTGGTTTAAAAATTTTCCAAATTGAAACCCACTAAAATATGGATTGCTTACTTACTTATTATTAAAATACGGATTACTGCTGGAAAATTCGGTCCTGCAAGGACCTGGATCTCAAAGACTTCAGTCTCCCATCTCCTTACTCCAAGCAACTTGAGATCCTCCTCGACGTCATACAAATATCCCAGGACTCGGCCTAGATCTCTTGGTATTCCGCTGTATCTTTAATCTCCAATTTTTCCATACAGCAGGCGTTTTGGCATCCTATTTTCTGGCATCCTTTCCACATTACCGAGCCATCTGGAGCTAAATTATGGATTCTTACAAATATTCATAAGCCCATTGAAAGATTCCCTTGGTCAACACAAATGCTACAGGAAAAAAAATAATAATGGAAACGTAGATTGATAAGTGTTGATTTGTTGAAGTGTTAGTGTTGGTATTTTTAAGTAGATTGGTGAGTTTTATATGTAATGTAATGTGGTTATTTGGAATGTTGAGTGTTTATTATAACTAATTTTAAATTGGTAATGATTTTTTGGGTTGAAAATGGTGTGTTTATTGGGGGTTTTGTTTTTTTGTGTGATTTGAAAATTAAAAAGTGGATTTTTATATATAGTTTTATTTATATTATTTTTTTTTGTGATGATTAATAAATATGTGTTGATTCGTATAGTATGATGAATGTATATGGTTTATTAAAGGTGATTTGTAGAATATTTGTTTGTTGGAATATTGTGATATGTATTAGAATGTGGATTATTTTGTTTTTTAATAATGTGTGATTGTTTATATAATTTAGTGTAGTTTGAATTTAATGTGATTGTATATAATATTGTATGTTATATATGTGGAATAATGGTTGGTATTAGTAATGAGTTAATGAGAATTTAGTTATGGAGGTTGGTTGGTAATAGTTGTTTTTTGTGTTGTTTATTGTGGGGTTAAATGATTGGTTATTTTTTAATTATGTAACATTGGGGTTTTTGAGTTATGGTTGTTAATATTTGGTTGAAATGGTGTGGTAAATTAATGTTTTTGAATTGTTTGGTTTTAGGAGGGTTGAGAGATTTGGTTTTGTGGAATATTAGTTGGGTGTGTGTTTGTGGGTATGGTGGTGGGTGGAGTTGATGGGAGTTGTTTTTGTATATATATTTTAGTGTGTGATTTTTTTGTGTGTTTATTTGTGTGTGTATTTTTTATGGTTTGTTTGATTTGTGTGTAGTGTGTGTGTGTTTTTTGATTGTGTGTGTGTGTGTATTTTTGTTTTGTTTTTTTGTAGTTTTTAGGATGTAGTTGTACCCGTGGCCAAGAATTATTTTAAAATACTTTGTTTAAAATACCTTCAATTTCGTATTTCTAAAATACAATTTTAATCGCCGAATATTTTAATTTTCTATAGAAAAAATAATTAAATTTGGTAATTTAAAAGTGAGTAGTAGTTGAAATACTATGTGATTAAAATTGTATTTTAGAATAACAAAATACTTAGTATTTAAATGATGTATTTAAAAATAATTTTCGCCCAGGCCTGCTTCATATTGACATTCATTACAAAAGTTTCAACCGTACAATATTCGTAATTAAAGAAAAAATCATTGATTTATATTTATCATTGATTTTTTTCAGACCATAAATCTATTTCACTTTATTTATAAATTTTTCGAAAATAAGTAAAACCGACACATGCTCTGGTGGGGTATATCCCGTACTAAGAGATAGCAACCTCTAGGCAGTTATCAGGGGTTGACAAAAGGCGACAAGCCCCATTTGCTGGACTAGTTCCGCACACCAGTACCAGTAGATATGAACAGAATAGAGAGAGGAGTACAATAAATCTGTACAACTGCGTTGAGTTGCTAAAACACCCAGCTTACCTTACTGATCAGTCTTAATCGACAATATTTAATAAGAGCGAATAAAAAACATTCGGGTAACACACAACTTTTACTTACCGCTCTACTTGAAGATAAATTATTTTCTGGCAATATAGGGTTTATAAACTATTATGAAATGTTTGAAGTGCACTTTTAACCGAGCTAAAGCTTAAAGCTTACAGTTAAGTACAACATGATCAGATCTATGTATCATTATTTTATATCAATATTAAACATTTTTCGACTATCATGTCCTTCAATATATTATCATTCGTTAAAGAATTAATATCATAACTGTTTGATGATCACTATTATCATCATTGACACTTAAAACCACACAATGCCAGAGTGATTTGACTTATAATTATAATAATTTTACAATACCTTTAGAACTAATTTTTAGTCCAAATTGAAGCTGAATACAGAACAGTCATATGAAAACTTATTTTTATTTTAAATACTTCATACTTTATCATCTACGACCACAGTAATCATAATAATAGTTCATCTATTGATATTACCTATCACACTTTCAATTCGTGAATAACCTACATAATGATCCCTTACATTCTTCCATTAAGATTTCTGGTTGATTGAAATGCACTTAATAAATTTATTAATGTAACTAATAAACTTTTCTCACCATTGTCTTTACTTTTTAAATTTTGTTCATAATAGATATCTCAACATTTCATTACATATAGTTTCTGTAGACATACCGTGAAATTTAACATCCTAACTTATTCAAACCTATTGAATTTCTGTTTAAATCAATTACATTACTGCTTTGACGGTTTGTCGCGAATTTATTTTTACTGAGATAAAATATACATTTAATTTTCTAGTCCCATCCTTCGGGTTTGGTGCCATTTTCTCATAATCTAACATATGTCTATTATAGGCCATAGGTCACCAAAAAAAAAACACAGTTTTTTTTTTATATATTACATGTATGTTTATTCAACGTTTCGGCTTCAGGAGCCATTTTCAAGAACCTGCAAAACTAAATTTTAATTTACTTTTTACCATTCAAGTATAGCCTCAGACAATAAACTTGTATCATTCACCTACCATGCACCGCGCCATAAAATTTTTAAAATTTGTCACTACGATATGACTCGTCCCAATACATTCTTTTATTTCAAAGAACGTCCTTTTTTTTTTTGTTTTTTTTTAATTTATAATTATATATTTTTATAATTTTTAGAAACGGAAAACGGCGTTCTTTGAAATAAAAGAATGAATCCGGACGAGTCATATCGTAGTGACAAATTTTAAAAATTTTATGGCGCGGTGCATGGTAGGTGAATGATACAAGTTTATTGTGTTATTGTGTTGTTTTTTTTTTGGTGACCTATGGCCTATAATAGACATATGTTAGAATATACATTTAATTCGTAAACTAAAAACTAACAATTATCTTGAAATTAAAAAAAAAAATAACAATACATTATTATCACGAGTAGAATGTTTATTTAACTAACAAATATCAACCCCATAACTATCTTTACAATAAACCCCGGCTGCTATCCGTCATCACCAACTAATATCTAAGTTTAAGACAAGAGTGAAACCTGAAGGTTTCTAACTATACTCCATTATGATAAGTGGGAAGATCTACTCCCAACAAAGAACTATTGTTGATTTGATTAATGATATAAGCAACAGTTGGAAGTTCAACAATGAAGGATCAGACAAATTTGATTCACTGTTCCATGCGTACCCCTCTAGCTCTCTATAGCTTTCAGAATTATGCAACCACTTCCATTCTAAATTAATAGCAATAAAGAACCAATCAATCATACTTATCATTACAAAACTAGAACACAACCATGTTATGACGAAGATTTCGAAACAAGGAAAGAAAATTATATTATATTAGTTGGTTCGTGCGAATAACTCGCAAAGAATATTTGTCAATAAACAAATAACAAAATAATAAGGAAATAAATAATTCAACGTATAGTAAGATGATGGAATCGTTTCTCATATTTTCAGTAATTTTAATCGACCAAGAAAAAAAATATTATTATAAAACTTCCTTCATTATAAAACATGCATTAAATAAATTCCTTCATATTATTACGGTTCATATGGACGGTTGGTCCATCCCAATATCATATATTAGTGCTCGTCAAATGGAACCGTTTTAAATAATATTTGCTTATAGCAGCATGGTCAATTAAGAACGGTGCAGTGTTAGTTTGTACTCTTTTCTTTAATTTTCCAATCGTTGATATGTATAGCTTCTGAAAGAAATGTATGAAGTTGACCACCTTTAGTTCTTTTTTGCGATTATCTTTCCTAAATATCTGTGTCAACTAAAATGGAGGATTTTTAACTATTTAATGCCAATCCCTTTATCCAAATCTTTTTATTGTCAATATTATTACTGGCTATTATAATTTTTTTTGTCTATAAAAATCATTTTCGTGTTAAATATTATTTTAGTAAAGCAGTATAATAGATTTTAATCAGTCAAAATAACATTAGATAGAGGAATGGAGAACTAGAGTGATTTAAATTTAAAAAATAAATGTCTGTTATCTATTAAGATGGAGACACCATAGCTATCTCACACATACATGTTCAAATCGTTTATTAGTTAATGGCTGTTTTTAAACCTTTTTTTTATGTTCTGTCCTAATATCCTAATTCATGTAGCGTTGGTCAATATACTTTTCTAATAAATTGTTTAATCTGAGTTGGGATATATTTGTTGAACTGGTATTGCTAATAATTATATATTTACTTAATTTCTGAACTGTTCACTAATCATTTTCATTTTTAATCACCTATTCTTATTAATAACTTATATTTTTAATTACATTATAAAATAATAAGCATTTCTAAAACTATTCCTAAATAATATATGATTTTTTTTTCAGATCCATGCTGTGAGATTAAGACTAACTTTACAAACGTTTTAAAATTCGTAAGTAATGGTTATACTTTTAATATTACCCAATAAAATTTGGGACTTTAATAACTCAGGTTTAGTTATGAAAGTACTTAATAGTAGTAGAGAAAACATTCTGAATTTTAGGCATTTCATGACTTTTTTTCGGAATAAAATTTAAATTTAGTTGCAAGAGATTACAATTATATATATTAATTTATATTGGATTAAAATTAAATTAATATTTTTAATTAGACGATTAAACTATACACTTAACACCACACAATGCCACTAGGTTTGGTTTATTGTATTCCAAAATAAGAACAGACATCGATATTTTGTAAATTTTTCCAAAGTTCCAATTTTTTTTTTTCGATTGATACAATTAAATAAAAGAACATGATACAATTAAATTTGTACATATTATGTATTATATTAGTAATACGTATGTACGAGTATGTAGTAGTATCATGCACTATATAGTATCTATCTAGTGAAAAGGGAAAAAAAGGATGATCTGTTTTATTTAATTCTTGTCATTTATTTTATTAGTATTGAAATTTATTTTATTTTATTTTTTATGCCGGCTATAAATTGAACATGAATAGAAATCCATTTATCATGCGTCGTCAGGTTAACAACCCACTGTACCTGCCAAAACAACAGATTTCATAATTTTACGTCATTAATATCAAGGAACTATACCACACCTACTGGTGATACCAAGTACTGTTGATAAATAGCGTCATATAATCTATTAACTGATGAGTAGTGTTGCTCAAATGCAAGACCAAGACGGGTCTTTGTCTCGCGCAAACGTCTCAAAATATTAAACATGTTGCTTTAGATCTTTTAAAAATGCTAACAGAATAGGTACATTTAGAAGTTTTATTGACTTAAACATGGTAAAATCTAACTTAATTATTAAAATTAACTTGAAAATAAATTAAAGGCAGTGTCAAAAAAAAAAAATAATAATAACGATAGTTCCTCCCCCACTTTGGAATGAATGAGTTGTAGAGTAAAGACGATCTATACAAAGTCACCAATTATTTAAATAGAAAACCTGGTGTGTCCGCTCACATGCCTTTCCTATCAATTTTAAACAATATTTTATATTTTTTTCATTTTAAATATGTTCATAAAAATAATACAATTGAATAATTTTCCTAATAATAGAGAAATCATTTTTGTGTACGATTTCTTTGATGAACTAAACCAATATAACTTAGATTTTTTTTTTCCTACTGTACAAAATATATTTCAGCCTAAAAAATAGCAATCACACAGCTTTATTACAACATGTGTAAGGTAATGTTGCCATACATATGTATATATAAATAAGTAAATATATATATATATATATATATATATATATATATATATATATATATATATATATATATAGGTAAATAAAATAATTTTTTATTTGATTTGAAAACCAATGTAAACGGGCAAGTATACAATTATTAAAATCATTGTATAAAATTCAATACACTGTTACGTTGCTAAATCTAGTCTAATTTAGACGATTTTTTTTCCGGAAATTTAATCTTTTAAAAATGTTACCATTGCATAATATAGAAATATTACAATAATTTTTCAGAATGGGGAAATCTAACTAAACCCTGAATGAAAAATTGGAAGAGTTAACTGCAAAAGTATATTATATATGTAGGTTCCACCAATTCTTCACATATAGTAACTAAAATTGTCTAGTAACTATTTTGCCTTAATATTTATTCACAAAACGATTTTTTTTTTTTTATGATTCTTGGTCTTGGTCTTGCAACAATTTGGCGGTCTTGGTCTTGAGTAATCAATCTTTATTTTTTTGATCAATTCTAAAGTTGAAAAACAATACTGTATTTTTATCTTCCTCCTTACATTCATGAATAATATTTAAAAATTGGACGATTTTATTATTTTTAAAGCCCTACTTAAAGAAGAAACTTATTTTTCAGACACGAGTTATCACTTCTTAGGCATCGATATGATAGTTGTTTGATTCTAATTTTAATTTTTATTTGGGATGTTTAATTAATTGTCAGGTTTAATTTATCCATAATGAAAAGTGACTTTAAAATAAGTATATTAATAATCGATTATTTTGGTATCGATGAGGCATTGAAAAACATCGAGAACTATTCTCAACGAGCCAGTTGAGCACCCAACGGCTAGAACCAATTTAGAAAACTTGGTTGCGTGTTCGTTCAAGCTAGACTACATCAAGACATCTGTAACGAACGAACCGACCGATTAAGGAATTGGGTGATCATTCGTAGCACCAACCGATCTTAAGCAACTAATTAGCTAGTTTTTACAAAATAAAAAATTCTTATAATCATAAAAAAACAGCTTCGATGGGATTATATTGTGGAATTATGGTGGACAGATCTTATAAACTCAGTTTACATCTGATTACAATAGATCAATGTAAATAATACAGTGATTTGACAGTTTTCTTAAAATTGGTAAATTAGCAACATCTTTAGATAAAAACGTTAATTATGTATTAATTAAACATTCAAATGTAGTGAGTTGATTATGCCGCAAAAATAAAATAAATAAATGTACGTGACATTTAATAAAAATCTTAAAATTATCACATAGAATTTTTAGTCGTTTCAATTCCTCTAGGCTTCTTCAAATATCTATTTATATTTATAAGCCAGTTTTAGTATGCAGATATTTAACTTATATATATCGGGAAAATGCTTGGAATTCGTACGTCATATACTAATATATTCTGAATTTGAAACTGAGCACAATTATTACAAAAATTGTTTGACTCAAGTGATCAAGTACATGATATGACAATTAAACTTTTACATAATACAATAATGCGTCAATTTCGAAGATAATAATTTTAAGGTCAATTTGAATGCCTTCAAGGTCGCTGATTTGGAATTTACCGTACAGTTTTTTAGGCATGTCCGTTAGCGTTAGCTCAATTTCCTTGGATAAAAAAAAATTATTCTGTTCCAAAAATTTTTACATAATTTCAATAGTTTATAGTCAAATAAACTATTTGTTTATTATCTATTTTATAATTATTAGAGTAATCAACTGCTGTTTAAACATATTTAACAATGATAAGAAAAGATCAATAGTCAATATTAAATTAATAATCCACATCTTTTTTTTTTAGAGAGATATCTAGGTTATTTCATTGCATCAAAACACCTCAATTAATTAAGATCGATATTTTTTTTTCAAATAGTTCCAATTAAGAATGTTGTCTGCCCACAGACTCAATATTCCAACCATTTGATAATAACAGAGGTAGGTTATGTGTTATATTTCCGTATATATTCGACCAATATTCCTATAAGTTTTAGAAGAGAGTAAAAAAAAGTTTTAAATTGCACTGAACCAGGGCTAAAACTAGGAGAGAGGGGGAAATGGGGCTCTTGTCTTGTGCACCAGAATTTAGAAGGGGCAAATTTCGAGAGAAATTTCATTATTATGTCAAGTAAAAAAGAGGACATAATGGCCTGAGTGTTGAGGCTAGTGTTGCCCAAATGCGAGACCGATACCAGTCTTGGTCTTGCAAACTACGACTTGGTCTTGGTCTCGGTCTTGCGCAAGAGTTTCGCAACAATTTTTCAGTTACTCATTAGCTTATCGCTATAAATATATTACAGTAATTTTTTAGATAGGAGAAACCTAAGTAAGCACGAATGAAAAATTAGAGGAGTTAAATGAAAAATTAGAGGAGTTAAATGAAAATTTTTTTTGGTTATACCAATTATTAACATATAGTCACTAAAATTGTCGAGTATTATTTTAACTATTTTGCCTTAATTTTTATTTAAAAAGTCGATTTTTTTTACCAGTCCTGGTCTTGGTCTTGCAACAGTTAGGCAGTATTGGTCTTGGTCTTGCATTTTGCAAGTCTGATTTAATATTTATACTTATTTAAAAAAAGTTCAGTCCTGATGATGACACAAATAATATTTGGGTTGAAACGTCGGCACTAATAAGAACCGTATAATGACTGCGTCCTGAATATTTATCACCCAAAGAATACTACTTTTACAAATGCAGAATTGAAACCGTGAAAAAAAATCCTTTGGCTTCAGAAAAAGGAATATTTGAGCCAGAACATGAATATTAGCCGAATGCAAGGATGTACCGTACCCATAAAGACCCAAGACTCATGTATTTTATGATAGAACTTTTTTTTTAATTTCCTTCCATGGACGAGGCACTAATACAAAATGTGACTTACAATCATCAGACATATTACCAAGACGTTTATTTTTGTCCTCCCCTTCTTCGCCTTTTAGACAATACGGGGTTTTCAGATGATCAATTTTGGCTAACTTATATTTTTCCAACTTTATTATGTACTTTATTTGAAGAATAACAAATTTTTTATATAATATAATATTTCTTGTTTTTACTGGCAAATGTATGTCACATAACCCATTTTACTTTTTCTAAATCTAAAAGATTTTTTTTTCATTTATAAGCAAAATATTTTTTTTTTTATTATCTAATAATAATATTAATATTACCCTTCGTCTTAAATAAAAAAGTTAGGATTTTTTTACCAAATGTTTTTTAGAAAAAAAAATTGAATAACTTAAAATCAAATTTTACCACTGAAGTACAGTCTTCAAATGATCTAAATGTTTAGACCTGTTAATTTTAGTGGCAAGCTATGAAAAAAAATTAGAATGTCATTACATACAAATTAACAAAACTAATTCAATAAAGCTTCCATTGAAAAGAAAAGATATGCGTAATTCTTCGTTTTAGTACCTTTTCATAATTGATATTGTTTGAGTAATATAGTAGCAACATATCGTCCGCACCATTTTTTGGTATTAGGGTAACGAATGTTACCAGGCCCAAAGTTACACGCTCGTTATTTTAACATAGTGCAGACGATATGTATATGTCAGATATTAAATTCATAAAATGTGTTTTTAGACCCCATTATTCAATCAAAAACATCAAAATTTAATTTAAAAAAATGATAATGATATTTCAAGTAGTTTGAAAGATAATTAAAATATACATATATA